ATTTATTGACCTTTGAGGCGTTTGTATAATCCCAAAAAATATTGTAATTTTTAATATGTAATTAATTGACTTTTCACAATCTGGATCTGAGTATGGTCTTAATGAAAACAATTCCAGCCAAACTTTCTTTCTATTTTAGGGTAACCATCAGGGCAAAACAATCGTAAAGATGTCTAAAATTTGAAATAATTAAGTTTTTAAAACATGTCATTAAATTTCTTTGAATACCGACTCAGTCCAAAAATTGCCAAGGACTGTAAAACAGTTCCAATAGTGGTACAGTCCCTTGGCAATGTTGGGACTGAATTGGTCTTTAAAGAAATTTGATACCACCAATAAAAACGTAATTATGTAAATTATAGTCATAACGAGAAAGAAATGGGGGGTGATTCTGCTGTTGAGAACAGCAGAACAAAATTTGCACAGGCTGAATCGCCTTTCAATGTGCTATAGTTATTGTGATATATTATCCATCAGGCCTTTACAAAATATTTTTCACAGAACAATATATTTATGAATTTAATGTCTTGATTAAAACGCCACATTTTTGTTCATTTTTTTAAATGAATGTATTTTTTATCGAAAATTTTCTGTTAATAATAATGCAAAATAGTAAAACTTCCATTAAATAATGCTATTTATTTATTTTTTGAGTAATTTATTGAATGCATGTTGTAATTGTAGTTACTGAGAAAAATGATTTAAATTAATTTGACAATGAATTAATTGATTCATACAATTGAAATACGTCTGTTGTTTATATTATATGTGTATATATACAAGGAAAAAAAGGTCCCTCATATTTTGTTGTTTACTTCTAACTACATCTATTTTTATCGTTTTTATCATAATAATTTAAAGAAAGTTGAATCAAATAAAAAAATTACGAGCTTTAATAAAAATTATTTAATCAAGATGTTTTCACAAAATATTTACCAAAACACGGGAAAATCATTTAGTGATATTAAATTCACTAATTTCGTGGTCCGCTTGACCAATTAAACATTACAATTAATTAAGGTTTTTAGTTGCGATGAAAAAAAAGCTAATGGCACGAGAGGGATTCGAACCCACGACCTTCGGATAGATACGCCGCTGCTCTACCATCTGAGCTATCGTGACCTCGATCCACTCGGACATCAACTCCCCATCTCAACCCCACCTTATGAGTTGAAAAATGGCAAAAGGAGGGAAAACTCATAAGGTGGGGTTGGGATGGGGGAGTTGATGTCCGAGTGGATCGAGGTCACGATAGCTCAGTTGGTTAGAGCAGCGGCGTATCTAGCCGAAGGTCGTGGGTTCGAATCCCTCTCGTGCCATTAGCTTTTTTTCATCTCAACTAAAAACCTTAATTAATTGATTCAGTGATATATTAACATTTAACTAATAGTTCATTACCTGGTGTTGTTAATAACAATTAAGCGCAAAACTAGGAAAAGAAATTGTTAGTCAAATTATAATCTATTGCTAAATGATTTTCGGGGTTGGGTAATTTTTTTAACTATCATAATTAAATATTCTTTCCTAAAACTTAACATTTCTGACCTTGTTTAATTTGGCTTACATTAACATATGTTATAATTACTATACCGATAAAATATATACGGTTTGAAATAAACAACATGTCCGGTGTTATTATTATTATTATTATTATTAATTTTTAAGGGCGTTTTACTGTCCAGTGTTCGTTTTTTTTTTCGAGTGTATTGTAGATAGGCATGAAAAAGATATATTCATAGATTAAAAACCGAAAGTGATATAAAAAATAAAGATATAAAAGAAAAAGAAATAAATTGTGTGTATATATATATATATATATATATATATAATATATATATAAAAGACAGAGATAAGATAAAATGAAAAATGGAATAATTAAATTATAGTGGTAAACACAGGTAAAGAAGAACAAACGTGAGAGAGAGAGAGAAAGAGAGAGCGAGAGAGACAGACAGACAAACAGACGAGTGACAAAGAGAGAGTGAGTGGGATAGAGAAAGAGCGTTTGAGATAGTATAAGAGCAGTATGAATAAAGCATAAAAATAAATCGAGCAGAAATGGGTGGAGGAAAAGGAGAGAAATAAATGTACGGTTAAATGGGTAGAAAATGAGAAAAAGTCCAAGGAGGAAGATACATGTGGTAAAAGAGAGATTTGAAATCATGTGTGTATGTTTTTTAAATACAGTCGAATTATTAGTTTTACTTTCAAAAATTCATTTATTAATCTAACGTTGAATGGTTTACTTCGTTAATTATATTATCAATTTAATAATTAACCAAACAATAACAACTTGAATATCGTAATTCCGTACTGTAATTCCACACCGCTTTTGTAGATCCATCTGCTCACAAATTCTTTCCATATTGAGCTAATGAACATTACTATTATTGATAGCACATTTTTTTAAATATTATCAACTGAGACATTTATGATTTAATTAATTTTATTAGGCTTAAATAATTAATAGTCTCAAGGATTCATTTATATCTGTTAATTGGCATCACATGTTCCCAGGTGGAAAAAAGAGTCGTGCAAAATTACTTTAGATCACACCAACAATGAAAAGAGGAAAAATTGACTAGAAATTGGTAAAGCAACATTCAAATAAAAACGTAAACAGCAAATTAAAAATAAATTAATAAAACAGTTCAACAAACAAACAATCTACTTATTGTTGAAGTAGACAACCACTGTGTTATCAATTTATATATATTACTATACGATCAAATTTACTGAACCTTCAAAAATATCCTATAACTATGTAAACAGGAATGAATAGAATTTTATAGTATTCACAATTTGTTGAAGTTGTGAGGAGCGGTCAAGAATGACGTAGTTTTGAAAAACACTTTTTCATTTTTTTGCCGACGTTTCGACCTTTATTCGGGTCATCTTCAGGGCATAAAGTGTGGTGCTATTCTTGTGGCGTCATGTTGGTTTTGTGTGAAAGTATTGCCATTCTTGACCGCTCACTATGGAACTCACAGTACCACAATGTTCTTTGAAGTGTATTTGTATAATAATTTTGGTAGTAAAACAAAATCTTACCAATATTAAATTAGTTATCTGTAAGTTAAATTTTATCTCCTGATTAGATATATGTACCTGCCTTCATTGTTTATAATGGGGTACTTTAAAATTTAGATTTTTTAACTATTACAACTGAATTCGGCTCAGTAGTTTAATGGAGGTTCTGGAATTTTCTTACTCTGCAACTCAGGTGCTATCGAAAATATTAATCATTTTCAGCTGAGCGTTCACCTGGGTGAAATCCGTCGGCTCCATTTGGACTGTTTCCATTTGCCTAAAAATCCCTTTATTAATTATTTGAAAGGTACAAAAAACCAAAAAGAACTGATCCAATATGCCCGGCACGCCTGGAATTATAGAAACGAATTAGTTCAGGAATTTAATTTTTAACTTAATGTGTGGTGTTTAGTGACAGTTAGCCAATGTTATTCGGAGATCGTGGGATGCGGTCTGGTGTGATGTAGGTTTCAGAAAAACATTTTCTTAATCGTGCCAACGTTTCGATCTTTATTGAAATCATCTTCAGGGCTCAAAGTGTTTGTTGTGTGTGCCGATGTGTCATTCTTGTGTGTCGTTTGAGAGTGCCCATTTGTAGGTGTATATGTCAATTTCTTTTTAAGTGTTTCTTGAAAGATTTTCGTTGTCTGTTCGATGAGAGAATGGCTAGGGTCAGATTTGATTGTGCTGTATGTGTTTGTGTCGTTGATAATTTTTTCTTCGTCCTCTTTTTTGCTGATTGCTACATTGCTACTGTTTGTTTTGTTTTATCAGCATAAAGAATGAGTATATTAGGATTATTTTTGAGATTTTTGTTTTGATGTATGTTTGTGTGATATGTTGTGTTGATTTGTAGTGAGGTGTTATAAATGATTTGTTATTGTGTTAATGTATTTTGATCGTGTTATGTCTTTTTCTTCTTCAGTTTTTGTTGACTTTTGGATTGCATAGTCTACATCAGTAATTAATTTAGCTGTTATAATATAATCTGTTTTGTTGTAAGGAATGGAATATTCGGGACCAAGAGATAGAAAGTTTTGGATTTTTGGAGGGATGTTTTTGTTGGACACGGTTAACACGACACACAAGAATGTCACATCTACACAGAAAACAGACACTTTGAGCCCTGAAGATGATCTCAATAAAGATCGAAACGTTGGCACGATAAAAAAAAAATTCTAACACTTACATCACACTAGACCGCATCTCATGATCTCCAAATGTTTTTTTGTTTTCTGCATAGATTTCATTTTCCATTATTTTTGTTTTTAATTAAGGATTATTGGGTTATTTCTAATAATTTGATCAATTTTTCTGTTAATTTAATTTATTCTCATGCAAATCAATGTTCTTTTATTTCCGCTATAAAAATTAACAAGAATAAAGGAATATTAAATTGAACAGAAAAATGTAAAGAAAAAAATAGAAAAACATAAAAGAGAAGATATGAACTCAACGTTGGTTACGAATAAAAAACATAAAGATGTAATACTTTACGTGTTTTTTATTCACAACTAAGTTGAGTTAATATCTTCTTTTTTCTGTTTTTCTATTTTTTTATTTACATTATTCTGTTCAATTTAATATTCCTTTATTCTTGCTAATTTTTATTTTATTCTTTAGTGTAAGTTAATTTTCATATTCAGTTCTTAATTTTCTTCTTTCATAATTTTATCAAATTTTTTTAATGTTATAATTTTTAATAGCAACAATATGTTTTCATGAAGTTGCCATTGTAAATATATCCATGTGTCTTTCTGCAACGACCTCCGACAGACGGAGTTTGTCCATGTGTGTATACGTTTTTCTGTTGTAAATAATAATTATCTTTCTAATGTAAGAAATCTTTCTCTCTCTCTCTCCCTCTCTTTCTCTTTCTCTTTCACTCACTCACAAAATATGATATTATCCTTCATTAAGAATTTTATGTATCTTGACTTTTGTTTTAACTTTTAATATTAATTGTTTAGGGGTTACTGGAGTGAGCTGGTGCGGGGTGGGGGGAGCGGAGGGCGTGCATATGAGCGGCGGGAGGGCATGGAAGACCTGTCGTTGGAATCGCTCAGTTTGATGGAGAGGTCACGGCGCGTCGGTGTCGTAAGCCTCGGAGGCGGGGGAATCGTCGGAGGCGGCAAACGACGGCTGCCGTCCCCCCTCAGCCCGGATTCGGCCCTCGGCAGCGACGAAGAGGCGAGGAAGGCCGCACGCACCGAAGAAGACGACGACGAGGAAGAGGAGGAGCCACCCCGTCACCTCCGCACTCCGTCGGTCGTCATCAGCGATTATTCAGACGACCCTCTTATGGCCTCGTCGACCCTCAGCCTCGAAGAGATCGAGAGGCTCCGGGCCGAGTACGACTCCAGGAGCGGACAAGACTCCGGCTCCGAGTGTTCCGCGACTAGTTCCTGGAGCTCTTGGGGGCTGGAACCCGCTGACTATTCGCTGCGGACACCTCAGAGGAAAGCCAGCGATTGCTCAACCTGTTCCACCCTGAGTGGAGACGAAGACAACCTTCAACCAGTCATCCTGCAACAGCTCGTCACCAAAAAGGTAAGCAAAACATATGTACAGTATATTTTCAATACCTTTCTTCATAAAAAGTCATTATTTTGCACCACCAACATAGGTTGACCTCCGTTTCTAACTAATAAAACAAGAAAACCAAATAAAATGTAAAAATAAAGGCTAAAATAGATATTCACAAACTAATCAAATGCAGGAAAAATCGTGTCTTATTAGATAATAAAAACTTAATTCGATGTGTCCTACATAATAGAGGGTGTTATCCCTTGGCTCCATACAGAGAGCGTGTAGGTAAGCCGCCGTATTTAAGAATATTTCTTGGACATGGCTCAGGTCCCCCTGTTCCGCTTTTTAGGGGAATTGGGAATTTTTGATTGTATATAGCCGTCAAAATATGTGTTTTGTGTTTTGTATTAGTGAGTGTATTTATTAGCGTGAATCGGGAGGGGCTGATGATGGAATATTGAGTACTCCATCTACTAAACAGAATGAATGCAATGTATATAATTATTCAGAAATCGTGAGATGCGGTCTGGTGTGATGTAGGTTTCAGAAAAACATTTTCTTTATCTTGCCAACGTTTCGATCTTTATTGAGAACATCTTCAGGGCTCAAAGTCTTAGTCTTCTGTGTAATTGTGCCATTCTTGCGTGTCGTGTTGAGAGTGCCGCAAGAATTTGAACCCTGAAGATGATCTCAATAAAGTTCGAAAAGTTGGCACGATAAAGAAAATGTTTTTCTGAAACCTACATCATACCAGACCGCATCTCACGATTTCTGAATAATTATCGACTAACGGTCACTAATCACCACACACACAATGTATATAGCTGTGAATGTATTTATTTGTGTGAGTGCGAAAAAAAGCCCTAATAGAAACTGGAAAGTAAACAAAAAAAACTTATGAAGCAAACCAAATATAAAAAAGAACAAAATCTCTCTTATTAAAGAATGAATAGACTGTGAAGAAGAAACAATATTACAGAAGGAAAAAATTATTAAAGAATAGATCTGAACCAATGAATAAGTAAGCTTGCAATTTCCATAAAATGTATATAAATAATTTCAAAAACAACATATGTTTCCTCTATTTGAGTTTTAAATTGAAATGAGCTTTTTTGGTTTTTGGTTTTTAAATTCCAAGCTGGTCATGCTTTCTGCCTCTCCTTTTTCTAGGTTAACTACATATTCTTCATAATTAGTTTGTGGCTGTTGGACCATCGATCGTCTTGAAATCCCATCAAGTGGCCTGCCCAATTTCATTTTAAAACTTTAATTGTACTTGTGGCATATTTTATTTGGGTTTTTGAAGTATTTAGGCTTTTTTTGTTGTGATTCCTTCTTGTAAAGTTGAGTGTAATTCTGTTGCTGCTAGTGAATCTGAATTTATCTTTTTTACCCATCAAATTTGTTCACCATAGGTTATAGTTTGCTTTAAGCAAGAGTCTGATACTCGACTTTATTCTATTTTGAGGTTTTTCCTGAGATGCTCGACAATTCATCCAAATGTATCTCTACTTTATCGGCGACATCAAGCTGTTGTTTTTTCGATTTTTATTTCCTTTTTTTCATTAAATTAGTCTTGATTTTCAACCTGAACCTATTTTTAAACGTGCTCATTTGCTGGTACGGAGAGGCTATCATTTCTTTCAGTTGTTTCGCTGACTCAGCAAAGAGTTGTCATCCGTAAAGTGAAAGTAAGCAGTTTCCCCACGAAATTCTTATCTTTTCATTTTCCTTCCAATTAATATATCTAAGGATTTCCTCTACACTATCTTCTAGACGTCATAAAGTGTTAAGGATGTAAACTGGACAATTAAATTCTGATGCTTTTTCTATCAGTTGATTAATCACGTGGATATATCAATTTTTAAGAAACCTTTCCGAAAACTTGCTTGTCCTGGAGGATGTTGAGATTCTAGTCTTTTATAAGGTTAGAATTGACGAGAATGCCTTGCTTGGGTTGTAGTTGAGATATAGTGGTTTTTAATCGTTCTAATTCCTCCTCTTTTGTATCAATATAAGATCAGGTATGTTCTACGAATTTTTCTTCTAAAATCTGGTTGAAAATTTTGTCCAAATTTCATCTTCTTTACGCTATTTTAATAATTTCATTCGTGAAAGCATCATTACCCTGTTTTTTTTACGATCGCAACAGCAGAGGTTATATCAGCCCTCAGGTTGCCGGTGTTTTTGAAAAAAAAAAAGCCCATAAGTATGTCGGGTCAAATTGGGCCGCTGGATTCGAACCCTGGACCTTTACCTTAAAGTGATGAGCGCCGTGTCAACACCTAAATCGTTGCGGCCACCGACTCCTCATCACTATCCATACTTTCTGTTGTTGTTAATTCCGGAGTGACTCGAATATTTATTTGTTTCTTTTAAGCATTCTCACATTGTTCTTGGTTTGTCTGGAGATCTCCTTGTACAATGTTGCTGTATCTATTCATTACCTTCACTGGGCTAATAAAAGTAATAAATATAGTTCTAGTAATAAAATTAGTTAATGTATAAAACCACTTCTCAGTTCACTTCAGACTACTACCTTTTCTGAAGATGAAGAAAGAAAAACGAGAAAGAAAAAATATTCAACCATGTAAGATTTTGAGTCAGTACGACAAAATATTTCTAAAACACTTTTAAAGCAGCCAATTCATTATTTTCAATACATTACTTAAGAAACTATAATTTGAACTTTTATTACAATTTGGAATACGCTACAGCAGATTACTAACAAAAAACTGGACTTAAAACAAAAAAAAACAAGAATTTTTGCGTGTGCATCATAAATTTCAAATGTGTTTCGGCTAAAAAAATATTTTAGTCTGCTTTGCTAAGTTACTTGGTCACTACGACAAAATTGTATTCGGCATGTATAGCAAGGGTATGGAAGTACATAATTTATGACCTACCAATGAAGCAAAATAAATAATGTATTTTTTGAACAAGAAACAAGTCGATATTCGTTTTTTCCCCCTCAAAAACTCCTGAATACACATTTTTAGGAAAAATGTCTGTACAAAATTTTTGCATTTCAAAAAGTCGCCTCCGATTTTTTGAAATATGAAAATCACAAAAATGGTGTCTCAACTGATACACAAGAAACTTTACAGGGTATATATTCTTCTAAACTGCAGGTAATTGTATACACATTTCAAAGTTTCAAACGTTTCAGAGTCAAAGAACTAGAGATAAAAATAAAACATTTGAGGAGTTTTTGTTGAATTTAGTTTTCACACTTATAACAGCTTAAAATCATAAACATTATTTACATGCTTTAGATAAGACATATTCTGCTTTCCAACGGTTGTAATAACGCGGAATTTGGATAAAATCAAAGGGGGTTTTGCATGTTTGACCGATTTCCGGCGTGATCGGCGAAAAAAAAATTGCCTTAGCTGATCCAGCACAAAAATGTCTTTTTTCATTATGTAGTAACTTTATTGAACATAACTAGTTATATAGTATATTTTGCAAATAATAAAAAAAATGTTTAAAAGTAGAGTTAACGCTAATTACCATGAAACATGTTAGGAAATTCGAACCCAGTGGCTGCCATCTGAAGCATGGACATTTTTTAGATAAATTCATTTACTTGGTGGTTGATCAGGTTGACCGAGCAAAAAAGCCAACAAGTTACGTTTACGTTTAAACGTCAAACCTGCCCACCAGTGCACATAAACAACAAGGTAATGCCACAATCCAGCCAAGTCCGGTATCGACAAATTCTTGGGCTTTACCAAACTAACCGCTTACAAAACACTTAGACTGATTTGGATTTACGGAGTCGAACTGAGTAGCTCGGCCAAATTCTAGAACATGCAACGAAATCAAGAATTTCAGTCTAAAATATCTCAACACTTCTATGACACCAGTCAACATGTGCAACATCACCGATTGCACCTGGTACTTTAAAAATCCCGTCACAGACAAAAATTGGATTTATATTTATGATAATTGACATAAATTTATGTTGTGAACCGTTTAACGAAGAAGGAAGATTGCGTAGCTTAGACAAATTACTTCTTGAAGTGTTCTCATTTAATATACATAAATATAAGATATGTTATAAAATAAATAAGTGGTTAATATTTGAAATTGGGGCCAAATATATTTCTTTCTGTTGCGAAAAACGATTTGTTATAAGTATAAACCAGTTTGCTATTTTTCTAACTGCCCAACCCGTCTGATGCGACATGGCTCAAATCCTTGGATTAAACAATTGTCCGTGTTATCCGAATAGTTTCGAGATGATGTACTTAAGGCGCAAACGGCCAATTTTCACCGTCAGCGAAGGCGGAACTTAGCACGAAAAGCGCGTGGGCGGTGATAAAAGTCCATAGAAGATTGCAAAGCCAAGGTCTATCGTCTTTCGGTTTCAGACTGTTCAAACAAGACATGATTGATTGTTTTCAGTCATTTTGTCTACCGAACAATCCCACAAAAGTTAAAATTTCTAAAGTCGTTAGATCTATCTACTGGTCGATGTTTATGTTTTGTTACATTGACTACTTTGAAAACTAAAGAAAGCTGACTATCAAAAGTACAGTTTCTTAATACTTCTTGGCTGAAACTGGACTTAAACAGGCTTGTCCTTAGCCCCTTGTTATTGCCCTTCATTTTTAACGACCTCCCTGACCATATCATACCACCAAACTTTCTATCCGGCTTACGAGCAGCTAAATGGGCTTTTTTGCAAAAACGCCGGCACCCTGAGGGTTTATATGACCTAAAAAAACCAAAAAAAAACCAGTAGAATGAAAGTTTGAACAGCTACAAACCAGTGATCAATACGATGAGCGAGATGGATTCCGTCTTAGGAGACCGATCTCAGTGTTAAGGTTGTTTCGGGGCCACCTACGCTTCAGTCTTCTGTTGGGATTATTAAGCAATGTGGTGGATGAAAGGTTTTTGATGAAAGGGGTCCTATGATGGGATAGTTTGGAATGGAACGTTTTGTAGCGGGATTGGGCTAGCTCGGTAATAAGAAGGACATTTAGGTCGGTATGGATGGTGTGATTGGATAC